ATTTTTGTATGAGCCTTGGCTCAACGGTTTGCTAGTGGGGTTCGAGAATTATATGACCAAAGTTTCAGACATCAGTAAGCCAACAAGAGCCATCTTAAGATCTCCGCAGTTATTTAAGCCTCAAGTGTCCAGCTTGTACCATGTAGATGTTGTGTCCTTTTGAACATAATGAGACTTCTTTATTGGGCAACTGCCTCAATTCTTATCAGAGATCGATAATCTGGCTAAATCGGAAAATATACATTCCAAGACGGAGTGGAACGGTGAGGGAAGCAATAACATCAGTATGACAGAATAAGTTTGGAAATAAAGGCAAAGGACAAGATTGTCCTCCATCGGCTTTACTCTGCTCTATCGACGGTGACCATTTACAACCTCAACTGGACGGGGTAGCTCTTATGGACGCGTCAGGTTTCAACATTGCATGTTTAGCGAGGCTGCCAATGAAACAACACATTTCCTTGCCAGATCAAATGTTGTCTGTACTACCGTAACTGCTAAGCAATTCAATGTGAATCTGAATTTCTAAGTGATAAGATCAAACGGTTGAAATAAATTTAATACAATAGAGAAAATGTCTCTCACCATAATGTGCACGTGGAAAAACAAATCGATGAAAATTCATAAAATGCTACTCTGATTTGTGGTAAAGATAACAACCTGCGGTACTCGGTAATTTTCAAAAATTGATGGGAAAAACGTAGTTCCGCCATTTTAGTTTCTTTTTTTACAACTAAGTATGAAACCAACGTTTTAGAATCTTAAGAATCGCAGAACTCAGCTCATCTCTAATAATTTCTTCCGAGTTATGAAAAGCTTGATCTTCGCGCCATCAAAGCGCCGCGCACACGAGTTTCATCTTGAGAAGCAACTGTTTGTAAGTGATGCGCATATATTTCAAGTATGCAACCTGACTGCTCTATAAAAGATGGGTTGCAATACTTGAAATGGAATGGGCCACATACTCATTTAGTCTGGGGCCACTCCACGGTGGAAAGTACCTGCGATCAAGCATGTCATCTTATTTTTACCCAAAGGTAACCATAGTTCGCGACAGTAAAGAATGTTCGCCCCTACCTTCTCAGTATTTGAGCGATCCCTTATTTCCTTTTCTCATTTACATATAACCCCACCTATGCAACCTGACCTTTCCACAGAAGGATAGGTCAGTGGCAGCAGAATGAGTATGAGATTAATCGAATTTTTTTTTCCAGATTCCAGGGTCCCTATTGAAGCGGTGAATGAATGAACGTGTATTCGCCTTCTACTATGTCCATATTTTCATACGAAAATCCAAATTTTGTTTTCAACAAGATTAGCAGGCCTATTTTATGAAATTTTCCAAGTGAGGAAATGCCTCGTCGAAATCTGAGGAGGTAGCGGCTGAATCTCTTCACTTTTGTAGACTACGGTCACCTTTGGTTAGAAATAAGATGATATGCTTGATCGCAGGTAGTTGCTGCCGTGGAGTGGCCCCAGACTGAGCGAGTCGTGACGGACTGGGTTGGGTGTTTTGTTGGTTGTTGTGTTTGTGTTTTTTTTTTTTTTTTTTTTTTTTTTTTTTTTTTTTTTTTTTTTTTTTTTTTTTTTTTTTTTTTTTTTTTTTTTTTTTTTTTTTTTTTTTTTTTTTTTTTTTTTTTTTTTTTTTTTTTTTTTTTTTTTTTTTTTTTTTTTTTTTTTTTTTTTTTTTTTTTTTTTTTTTTTTTTTTATTTTATCCCTGCCTACACCCTCAGTGAAATATAATCATGCAAAGGTCACCCTGGAGCAATTCCTTCATGAGACTGTAGGTACATTTCCAGACCCATGGCGCCTGCGAGTCCAAAGGGATGATATCCGTGTTCCCCTGCGAAGCTACGGCATCCGTCTGTGTGTCCTTTACAGCAAAGAGGCGCTGCTGCTCACAGAAGGTAGAGAATGAAGGAAGGAATGTGGCCGTGATTTCTCGCATTCGGCTCCGGAGAAAGTGTCTTTCAGTATCCCCCTGTTATATACTGCAGCACTTCGTTCTATTATGATCTCTCAGAATTTTCATGACGGCTTATATGGACGGATTGGGCGGCAGTGGTGTATGTGAGACAGAATATCTGCGCCTCACCTGATTGTGGGCGGTGTGTGCGTATACGAAGTTATTATTACCACGCGAGCGGTCCGGGATCAAATCCTGGGTCGTGAGTCGCCCGGGCCAACCAAGCCTTCCATCCCTCCGGGGTCGGTTAATTGGTACCAGACTTGTCTGGGAGGATAAAAACACTGACTTGAACATCGGCTGGCCCCCGCAAGTCATTGTATAGGCCACATCGCATTCAAAAGCGCTGGTGAATGTACAAATGGAAGTAGCTAATAGGTAGTGGAAGCCGGCATCTCAAAAAAGGGATCTGATACATTGCGAAAAGCTCATCCGTTCAACTTTCAGAAGGTTTCCTCTTGTCGAAAAAGAGGCTCAATAAGTCATCCGGTACAAGGAGATGTTCGGTGAAGAGAAGGTGAAAGGCGAAATCCGAGTTGTAATTATAGCCAACGTCATCGTTGCCTGGTATATCGGCCTGAATATCCCATCATACCTATTATACAGTATTTTTCCTATCTGCGTATTTCTTTGCCACAAAATTCAGAACTACCTGTCCAACTGGAGAGCTGAGTCAAATTTGGGATGGGTGAGTGATGCCCTAAGAGGTGTATGTATACAAAACACGTTGGCTGAGTGGGGCTCTAGGGCCCACAGGAGAAAGTTGGTAAATTTTATTTCAAAACAGCCTCGAGTCCAGAAAAAATTTTGTGAAGGTATGGTCGAGCAAGGGAGACCAGGACGCGGTGGAAAAGGCGTCATCCAAAAAGCCAGTGCCTGATAAAAATTCATAATTTGTACTGCACATCCACTTTGCACGAATGCTTTCTAGTTTGTTGTACCCACGGAACCTTGAGAATTTCGCTTGAGTCCTCCCCTCCCCTCGCCTCCCCCGCAAGGATTGAAAAGATTACAGTAGAGGCCCATAATTTATGAACAAACCGTTTTCCACATGATTTCTCTTTGCATCAGCCAACTGAAACGTCTCCAAATCGCAACCCAAATTAATTAAAGCGAGAAATTTACGATAAAATTTCTGTGCAGCATGGAAGAACGAGCAGCACTTCAAGCAGTAGCTAGAGCCCAAAGGAAATCGAGATGTGGCCTTTTTGTGACTAAAGGTGCGCTCGTTGCAGCGCCCTGGGGCTGCCAATCCTTTCTGAGCTCCGCCTCCGCCTGTGCTCCGCCCCTCAGCAGATCGCTGTTCGATTATCATTCTGATAAGGTATGCCACTTCGAGCGCGTATCCAATTTTTTTCTCATGGAATGCTATATCAATCAAGGTATGATCTCTGGTGGTATGATGGCAGCTATGGTTTAACGAGTGCCGACGACCTCTTAGTTGGTTGCCAACTCGTCCATTATCGGAGGTCAACGGGCAGAGGAAGTGGTCCCATTTTGCGCGTTTTTGACGGATTTCTTTGCTTTTTTCGCTACTAGGGCATTATTCAGCATCTTCACTTCCACTATGAGCACAACAGAATCCTATCGCAATCTCTCGCTTTAAGTCGTGATTTGTGGTCTAATCACAGAAAGATTCACAACCGTTGCAGCTCAATTTTGGCGTTCAAATTTTTTTAGATGGGTTGCGAAATTAATGCCACAGCAAAGAGGCGCTGCTGCTGCGAACAGAGGTAGAGAATAAGGAAAGGAATGGGGCGTGATTTCTCGCATTCGCTCCGGAAGAAAGTGTCTTTAGTATCTCCTGTTAATAATCACTGGCAGGAGGGAAGCACTTGTTTATGTATGCTCAGATTTTCATTCGGCTAATGAACTATTTAGGGGCGGAAGTGGTGTAGTGACAAGTGGCGCGCTCACCACGCGAGCGGTCCGGGGATCAAATCCTGGGTCGTGAGTCGCCCGGGCCAACCAAGCCTTCCATCCCTCCGGGGTCGGTTAATTGGTACCAGACTTGTCTGGGAGGATAAAAACACTGACTTGTACATCGGCTGGCCCCCGCAAGTCATTGTATAGGCCACATCGCATTCAAACGCCACTACGAATGTACAAATGGAAGTAGAATGCGTGCCGCATCCCAAAAAGGGATTGATCAACGGCAAATGCTTTATCCTTATCCTTTATACTATTTAGCAGTGAGATATCATGCGGATCCCCGGACCGCTCGCGTGGTGAGCGCGCCACTTGTCACTACACCACTTCCGCCCAAATAGTCCATATAGCCGATGAAAATCTGAGCATACATAGAACGAACTGCTGCAGTATATAACAGGGGGATACTGAAAGAAACACTTTCTCCGGAAGCCGAATGCGAGAAATCACAGCCACATTCCTTCCTTCATTCTCTACCTCTGTGAGCAGAGCGCCTCTTGCTGTGAGCACAGACGGAAGCCGTAAAGCTTCCGCAGGGAAACGGATATCCCTTTGGCTGCTGGACCATGTCTGGTGTACCTACAGTCTTCATGAAGGAATCTACACAGGGTTGACCTTTGATGATCTAATTTCCTGAGGGTGTAGGAGGATCCCAATAGATAGAATGCCATAAAATCATTTTAGAGAGAGGTATCTACCTAGTGGAATGGAAGCCCCTCCCGCTCCTTCCCCTTCCCCCAAAAGATGCGGGACGATAGGTGTTTTCTAACAAAAGGTACGCGGCGGCCTAGCAGGGCCGTAGCAGCACCATTAGCACCGCTGCACTCCCACCCATCGGTTGACCCTCGCCACTTGGCTTCAGCCGCTCTAGCAGGGAGAGCGTTAGCGTTAAAGGGCAGCACCAATGATATCGCCAAACGTGCAAATTAACGGCAAAAGGCCAATTTCTCGAATTTCACGCCGTTTTTGCCTTTTTCTTCAATCCCTGCACCACTGCCCACTTCTATCTCTAATGGGCTGTCTTTTCATCGTGAACTCCGTCTTTAAGGATGTTGACATCGATGTGGTCGCCCTGTTGAACGACACCGTAGGAACACTTATGGCATGTGCATTCAAGGAAAACAGCTGCCAGGTTGATTAGTTAGTCTGCTACATGGATTTACCTCTTTAACACGAACAATAATTATTGCCAGATTGGCGTCATCGTTGGAACTGGCACAAACGCCTGCTATATGGAGAAGCTAGAAAAGGTTCCAAAGCTGAAAGGCGAATGGGAAAATGATGGATTCCCGAACGAAGTGAGCACTACACTATTCTGTAGTGTATTTGCTGATATTTTCTGGTTACCCAGTATAACTGCTTACAGATGATTATCAATATGGAATGGGGAGCGTTTGGTGACGATGGCAGTATAAACTTTGTAGTCACAGAGTACGACAAATATGTCGATTCCTCCAGCATAAATCCAAGAAAACAACTGTGAGTCGTTTCTCAACCACAAACATAATAAATAAAAATATGTAGTGGAGATTCAACCCTGAAAGCGTGCGAGCTGAAGAAAATTTGGTTAGTTTTGGTAATAGATACTTCACCACAATGGTTACAAAATCCTACTATATAGAATCGGCTAAGCGGTTGTGTGTGTGTGTCTGACCGGAAATTCATAAACTTCACTCCCTTTGGATCCAGAGCGTTGAAACTTTTAGGATATGTGGGGGGCTGGACACGAACACTTATGATAGGTAGTGGGAAGTGATAACCACTGATAGGAGCTGATAACGGGACGTCAGAATGTTGATGTCACCAATTGCGTTACGCCGTTCGCTTTGACACTGGAGAGTTTGCACTAATAAATGTTGTGTTGGGGCCGGACGTGGACCCAGATGGTAAGCGAGGTAAACTGATAGCAAGTGATAAGAGCTGATAATGGGTATCGGGATGCCAACGCCATCAGTTTTGTCAAGGCCTTCGCATTGACTGTAGGACGTTCGCACTTATGAATTTTATGTGAGGTGAGACGGGGACCAAGAAGGTGAGTGACGGAAAGTGCTAGCAACTGATAAGAAATGATAAGGGACCTCAAAGTGAGGATACCACCAGTTCCGTTGCGGCTTTCACGGTGACAGTGGAACTTTGACTCATATATGTAGTATAGAAGAAGGAGGGACACCATTGTGAGCAGTATGAAGTGATAATAAATGATAAGGAATGATAAGGGCGTCGAAATATGCCTTGAAACTTCGTGCGGTTATCACTGGCAAACGATCAATATCAGATGGTGATGGTAGGTGACAGAAAGAGGGAAAGTGTGTAAATTGTACTGATAAAAGTAGCGACAACTTGGTGTGCACTCGGTTGAACTAAACCAGGTACCAGGTTCTTGTGCACGCAACCATGTCCATTTCAACGTGTGTCACCGCGAAAAAAGCAAATGGTCGAGTAGCCGCTCAATTATCTGAACTTGAACCCAATGTGGCGGGACTTTCTCAGAACATAAGTGAAATGCGGAACACTGAATCATCAATTCACGGGTAGCCACAAAAGCCGAAAACGTAATTGGAGAGCGAGTAGAGCGCGGGCCAAACTTCGTTTAAGGCCGGGGACATCAAATGGGCTAAAAATTTACTGGGAAATTATGTATAATACGCCAGTTTCATTCTTCATTGTCGCGCAAGTATCATCGCGAAATCATCTTCTGCAGAAATGACTTGGACATCATGCTGAAGCCATCTCGAAAGCACATCTCTAAAATTGCTAGGTGACGCCTAGATGGTGTGGTTCTCAAGTGTCCAGTCGACGAATAGCACCCCTTAATCGCGCGCTGTTGCGTGCGAGCTGGGCGACTGTAGGGATATACACTCTGGTTCCATACACGAACAACAAGGCAGACACCTAGGCTGGAGCCACCTGAAGCTGTGACCCAGCCAGCAGACTAAAGCAAAGGGCTCACTATCGCCTTGTTCGCTATTCGCTACCAGGAGGTCTTCCAGGAAATGCCAAGCTTTTTCAAAACGGTTTTTTGCATGATATAGGGACACATGCATGGAAACACCAAACTGCAGTTCATTTTTCCTGAGCGGCCCTCTGAATACCAAAAAAGGAGCGAAGAAAAATTTTTAAGGAACTGCCGTTCTAACCGCTTTTTTGTGACGTACATCGCACACAGCGTTGACCAGTGTCATATCGAAAAGGTTCTCATGAATTGTACATTGAAAACAGTGCGGAATTCGGTCAAAAATAAAACGATCTCCTTGGCATGTATTGAAACTGTTGTGTATTATTCATCAGCGCCGTATGAAGCGAAGCTATCAGCGGTAGTCGGATGGCCTAGTGGTTAGTGGTGCGGTCTGTGAAACGGAAGTGGAAAGGTGTGTTGGATTCGCTCCCCCACACAGTGCCAAATTTGCTTTTTTCTATTGTCATTTTCCTGTGATCGTGCACTCCTGCGCATGCATATAATGCGGTTTTATGTTCGTTTTGAGATCCTACGACTGCGAATTCGTATCGGTCTCTCACGAACTTGTGTGTGCATCGGTAGAAATTTTATAACTCATAAACAAATTGCCCCCGGAAGGCTTGCAGAAGGGCTAACGTGGAATAGGAGGGGTCCGTCCTAGTGATTACCACGGAAACCGAGGTACTCCCTTGCAGGGCAAGTCTCACACAACTTTGCGCTTTTTGCAGCTGATCTAGCTATCGGCAGTAGACCCAGCCAGAAATATGACCAGAAGCCCAACCTGCCACTGTTTGACAATGAGGGGAACCTAATGACATAGTCATTGGTGACTTCTCGCCAATCGTCGGCTTGAGTGTCTACGATTGTCTATTACGGGAAAGGATTTCGCATTCCGTGAAAGATGACAAGGAGGTCGCCTCCAAATTATCTACCAATGAGCCTGACGGGCTAGTGATCTATCTACCCATGGTCCAACTGTTCGAAGTTGGGACGAAATCTTAATTTTCCCTGAAACTTTCGGGTTAGGGGTTATTCGGCGTCCTGATTACGAATATTCTATTAGTTTTTAGCGTAAACGTCATTTGAATTCGCTATGACGCCATTGGGCGCTACAACGGCGCCGTTTTGGTATCGCAACTTTCTCCACCAGATTTTTTAGTCAAAATCTACGTATGAAGGTTGCTGTTGCTCCTAGTTATAGATATGACATCTGCTATTCACGCTGACATCCTTTTTCGTAAACTTTGGAGCGCGAACAGAAAAATGCAAAAAAATTGTCACTGTGAGGATTCGAACCACGGACCACTTCATAACCCCTTTTTTGGTATTCAGAGGGCCGCTCAGGAAAAATGAACTATAGTTCAGTGTTCCATGCATGTACCCCTATATCATGCAAAAAACCGTTTTGAGAAAGCTTGGCATTTCCTGAAAGACCTTCCTCATTAAGAAGCGATGAACATGGAGGAAAAGA